TTAAGTGATGGAAGAGGAAGCTGGATTTTGTATAACTTTGGCTATGCCTTCTTTGAGTCCACGTTTGCAGTTTGGGGTCGGATAAGCGTGCAAGTATTGGCTGCTTTGTTTCCTTTCACTCCTCCTTGCCCTGGATTTGTTCTATATGTGTGTTGAATTTGTCTTTTTGTCCACCTGGCATGCTAAGTAGATACAGTGTCCAGAGAACTCTGCATTCTGTACTTTCTTTAAAAGATATTTACTACATACTAGCACATGGCCTGTATTGTGAAAAGGTTTTCTCCAATCATGCCAGTCTTTTTGTCTCAAAAAGTAAGTAAGGGAAGAGATTGCAGGGATCCTCTATATGCAAAATTTAAAAACCACTGTTTCTATATCAGTGGTGCTGAAGACAATTGGGAAACCCATTGATGTAGAGTCATAGAATGTTACACCACAGAGCATCAAACGCCTATAGACCGTAATCCCTTTTCAAGCATTTGGCCTGTAACCTTGGTATTTCAAGTGTTCATCCAAATATTTTTACAAAATTGTAATGGTTCCCACCTCTGAGTTCCAGATGCTCGTCACCCTCTGGGTGAAAACAAATACTGTAAATCCCCTCTAAACCTTCTGTCCCCTCCAGTTAAATCCAAGGCCCGGTAATTGATCCCCCTACTAAGTTTATTCCTGTTGACCCTAGATATACCCCTCAGTCAGGTTCACCCCTCAGCATTCTCTGCTGCAACAAAAACAACCTTAGCCTGTGCAGTGTTTTCACAGTTGAAACACTCTAGCCTGGGCAGTGTTTTGGTACATCCCTGCTGCATCCTCTCCATTGCAGTAACATCCTTCCTATAGTGTGATGGCCAGAACTGCACATAGTACTCCAGCTAATGAACCAATGAACTATACAGCTTCTTCATAACTCCCTAACTGTTGTATTCAGTATCTTCACTAATAAGGGCAAGTAACCTGTATGCCGCCTTAATGACTCTATATAACTGTTCCGTTGCCTATGAAAATCTGTGCGCATGCACAACAACGTTCTGCTCATCCTTAACTCTACCCAGAGTCCTACCATTCAGCATGTACTCCCTTGCCTTTTTCATCCTACCAAAATGCACCATTTCACACTTTTCAGGATTAAACTCTATCTGACAGTGCACTGCCCATTTGACCAGCCTGTGTTTGTATCTTCCTGTAGTCTAAAATTTTCCGTCTTGCATACCAACAATTTTCATGTAATCTTCAAGCTTACTGAAACAAAACTCCAATATTCATATCTAAATCATTAATGCACACTGTAAACAGCAGGTTCCCCAGCACCAAACATAGCAGCATGCCACTGGATAAAGGCTTCCATCACAAAAACTACCTTGAACCAACACTGTCTGGCTCCTGTCATTAAGCCCATTTTGGATCCAATTTATTAAATTTACCAAATGATCCCAAGGGTTCTTACCTTCTTGATCTTACTGAGTCCATGTAGACTACATTAACTGAACTACTCTCGGCCCCTTGAAAAATTTGATCAAATTTGTTAGACATAATATCCCAAGAAGGACCATACTAAGGGGAGGACGAGGCAACCACGGCTGCAAGGGAAGATGGGGACAGCATAAAAGCAAACGAGAAAGCATCCAGTGTGGTGAAGATTAGTGTCAAGTCAGAAAATTGGGAAACCTTAAAATACCAACAGAGGATAACTAAAAAGCCAAGGAGGGTGTAAGATGAAAAATGAGAGTAAGCTAGCTCGTAATATGAAAGAAGATTTCAAGTTTTTTTAAACATATTGAAAGGTAAGAGAGGCAAAAGCAAACTTTGGATCACTGAGAAATGAGACTGTAGTAGTAGAAATGGTGAGCAAAGAAATGGCAGAGGAACTGAATAGATACCTTGCATTAGTCTTCATGATGGAAGACACCAGCAGCATACCAGAACTTTGAGAGCCAGGGGCAGAGCTCAGTGTCGTGGCCGTCAGTAAGGAGAAGATTCAGGGGAAGACAAAGGGTCTGAAGGTGGATAAATGACCTGGACCAGATAGACTACACCCAGGGTTCTGAAGATGATAGCAGAGGAGATTATAGAAGCATTGGTGGTGATCTTTCAGGAATTACTGGAGTCATAGAATATCCCAGGAGACTGAAAAATGGCTAATGTAAAACCTCTATTTAAGAAGGGAGGGAGGCAGAAGACTGGAAACTATAGTTTGGTTAGCCTGACGTATTGTTGGTAAGATTTTTAAAGATTATTATAGAGGAGATTAATGAGTAGGTGGAAATGAGCATTAAAATAGGACAGTGTAAACACGTCATCGTCAAGGGGAGGTCATGCCTGATAAATCTGTTAGAATTCTTCGAGGAGGTAATGAGCAAGTGAGACAACGGAGAGCCAGTGGATGTGATCTATTTGTATTTCCAACAGGCCTTTGACAAGTTGCCACACAGTGTGCTGCTAAATAAGATCAAATCTCATGATGTTAGGGGCAAGGTACTGGCATGGATAGAGGCTTGGCTGACTGGCAGAAGGCAGAGTGGAGATAAAGGGGTCCTTTTCAGATGGTAGCTGGTGGAGTTCCGCAGGGGTCAGTGTTGGGACCACAATTATTCAGTTGAGTTTAGAAGGACAAAGGGTCTGAAGTTGGATAAATGACCTGGACCAGATAGACCCGATCCGATTGAAACTTAGAATTCTGAGAAGCCTTGATAGAATGGAGAAGATCTTTCCACTAGAAAACAGACTTGGTCCCAGAGCACTGCCTCAGAATGAAGGGGCATGGGTGACCCTTTAGAACTGATGTAAGGAGAAATTTCTTCAGCCAGGGGGTTAGACTTCATTGCTGCAGAAGGCTGTGGAGGCCAAGTCATTGGGTGTATTCAAGACAGAGTTAAATAGGTTCTTGATTGGTAAGGGATCAAGGGTAATGGGGAAAAGGCAAGAGAATGTGGTTGAGAAGGATGTCAGCCATGATTGAATGGTGGAGTAGACTCAACGGGCCGAATGCCCTAATTCTGCTCCGGTGTCTTTGGATCTTATGGTCTTATTCCCTGAAAAAGCCCTGGTGATTCTTTTTGATGAATCTGTGTCTCTTGAAGTGAAGATAGATTTGGACCCCCAAACTTAACCCCAAAAGTTTCCCTACCAGTGATGATAGACTCATTGGCGATTGCTCCCTGCTTTGTCCCTACCACCATTTTTGAGTAATGGTACAACATTAGCTGTTTTCTAACACTTATCTGGCACCTTTCCTGTGTTGAGAGGACCCGAAAATTAATGGCAAGGCCTCTTGTCTCCTACAGCAGCCTTGGATGCATCTAATTTTAAGGCCACTAAAATCTGTACCTCTTCAATACTAATTTATTCAAGTTTGTCACAGTCACCCTCAATATCTATACCTGCATTGTTATTCTTGATAGATTGCCACTTTGGTCCCTACCGAGCCTGTTGTTTCCTTGATTGTCCTCTTGCATCTGACACACTTTTAAAATGCCTTTGGATTATCCATTATTTTACTTGCTAGTATTTTTTCATGCCCCCTCTTCACTCATCTGATTTCTTTTTTAGGTGACTGTCTGCATTTTCTGTCTTTTGCTAGGGTTGCTACTATTTTTAGTTCTGTATCTACCATAAGTTTCCTTTTTTGCCTTATCTAATCCTACACATTTTTTTGACCTTCAAGATATTCCCTGTGTTTGTTTGTGTTCTCTCCCCAACCCCTCACCTTTGTAGCGACATGTTAGCTCTGTACTGTCATCATTTCCTCTCACTGCTGTGATGTAGATTTTCCTACAAGTAAGTGCTCACAGTCCACAATGGCCAAATTCTGTCTTGTATCAAAATCGGCCTCTTCCCAACCTGGCCCCAATTCAACACATTTGTTTCCAATTCAACTCTCTTTTTCCATGACCATAAGACATAGGAGCAGAAACAGACTATTTGGCCTATCAAGTCCACCATTCTGATAATCATCAACTCCACTTTCCTACCTTTTCACCATAATTCTTCATCTCCTTATTGATTAAAAATCTGACTATTTCAGCCTTGAATATACCCAACCTCAACAGCCCTCTGTGGTAAAACAATTCCACAGATTCACCACCCTCTGAGAAAGAAAAATCCTCCTCATGTCCTAAATGGGCGACTCCTTACTCTGAGATTATGCCCTCTGGTCTGAGACTCTAGTCACAAGGGGAAACAATCTCTCCACATCTACCCTGTCAAGCCTGCTGAGAATCTTAAATGTTTCGATCAGAACTCCTCCAATTCTCCAAAAGTCCGATGAGTGCCTTAATGAGTAACTACCTTAAATCTTAGATTCATTGTTCTGATGAGTGAAATTCTCCTCCACTGTTACTTCTACCATTCACCCAGCTTTCTTCTCGAAAATTAGATCTAGCACCATCCCTTATTGTAGGACTTTTGATGTGCTTAAAAAAGCTCATCTGTACATATTTCAAAAATTCTGCCTCCTCTAAACCTTTCATACTTTGTACCTACTATTGGGAAGTTGAAATCACCTATTATTTTTAACCCTATTATTTTTACTCGTCACTGAAATTTACTAACTTGGCACAGACTAGTAGTTCACAGTCTGTATAACTTTGTGCCATGACATTTATTTAGCCACTGGAAAAAGAAACTATAAGTAAAACAAACCTGTCTTGATTGTTTTATTAATCAGGTTTTCTTTTTTCAGCTGAATTGTGGCCGAGGTTAGTTTTCAAAACTGGATGGTTAGTTATTTTTGTCGTCCATCTGTTCAAATTTTCATTTCCCTTTTTTACCAATTATGTAGTTAAGATGCGTGTGGACTTGCATTGATTTAGCACTTTTAACAAAGAATTTGCAAGGCACTTCAAGTGTGCATACCACTGCTTGTGTTGGATTTATTTAAAGATGTATTACATTTAGGATACTCTTAAAATCCTAATTCAAGTAATAGAAATAAACATTTAAACATTCCAAAATTCAATAAAACAAATTGGTAACATTTACAATGTACCACAGAATGCCTTCACTTGATTCTTCTTGATGAATAAGTGTTGAATATATTCAAAGAATATGAAAATCTATCAGCCACACAACACCTAATTATGGTTATCCACAGATGTGCATGACGCTTTTCAGTTTATGACACAAAATATTTCAGTTGCATTCAGCATTACTTTAATACCGTTGTAAAACACAAATTTTCAGTAGTAATTTACTAGTTGGTTTCCAAGCTTTAAATTTATCCTTTCTATTTTTTTGGAGCTGTTTATTTATCTTGATAAATTTACAGCAGAAAGCAATATTGCAGAACAAAATTCTCAATATACAAAAAGAAACAAAGTACCGTGGTTGGCATCAAGATAGGAACATTGAAAGGAAAAATAGATTTTTTTTTACTCTACTCTCTTTCCGTCTATTAAATTACAGGCAAATTATTTAACAATTTCAGGAATAATACTTTATTGACACCTTTACAAAATCCTGGCCTAACTGAGGAGGGAGCGATAATGCAGACAAAAAGTTGAAGAAACTTAAATATGTTTTAAATTGCGAATTTTCCATTTCTTACCATAAGCAAGATGTACCACAAAGAACAGTCAGAAATAAAGTGAAATAAAGTCTATGATCATTAGTGTAAATGGTTGTGTGGAAGAGCATTCAAATTGAAGTCAATAAGCTAGGAAAGTAATATTTCCCTTGAAATAAGTTGGTGTACTAACCTTTTAGATGAGATAAAAGTTACATAAATGTATCCAAGCTATTTTGCTGATCCATTCAGGTGTGAATGTATCTCTATGTATTTAAAGAGTTGGTCTCAATGTTGAGAAAGTTTATTCTGTTCCATTCACAATCAGCCTTTCAAAAGCATTATTCTGAGTTGTTAAAATTTGACTATTGATTGAACAGCTGACCTTGTAACTGAAAGAATGTAATGTCAGAATTTATTTTGTGTGACTAAGTTGTAGAAGGTGCTGTATCACTGAACTTTTTATAAAATCATTCTACTTTATTGTTCTCAAATGATATTCCTTAAAAAGCTCCTATCAACGAGTTTGAATAAAACCTGACACAGATTAATTTGTACAGCTAACAACAAAATGTGGAACCACGTTCTATTTCAAGATTAACTACTGTTGTCACAGTTAAACAGTAAGAATAATTTGCTGAGGTTCATTGCTTTGAATTGCCTAAAATAAACTTAATTTTGGTATACGTAGACACTCAATCAACTAAGGAGTCCAAAAGCAGATAAACTTCACAACATTTACTGTCCATACTACTATTACAACTTTTTCTGAGAGGTTGACTTTTAAAGAAGGGATTGAAAATTGCAAATCCTGATAATGATTTTGTAAGCGTTGGAATGTTGCATTGGCTCTGTAGATAGTCTTTATACATGCTTAGGTACTTAATTTACAATAAAGTTAAGATTGGGTATCTTGGTTTCAGAATGATCATCAGTGCACTTTCTTTGTACGGTACTTGCCATGTCCTCTATATCCTTTCTCTTTTGCCATGCTGGCACACGCATTGTGCTTGTTTTGCTGCAAGTGGTTCCAATATTTGATTAATTCACTGGGCTCGAACTGATGAGAGGTAATTAGATGGCTATATTTACAGCTGGAATAAGAAACTCTCCAGTGATTGAAGAGAAATTCATTGGGCGGTGGTACTGGGTCAATTCTCAGTTTTGCAAGACAGATTCCAACATAGACATCCTCTAAGTGCAAACGCCGAATACTCAAAGAGACTTTAAAAATCTTCTCAGCTAAGTCCCCAGAAAAAACATAACCAGTGCCTGAACAGAAGACTGGATAGCGCTCGCTTGGGTAGAGCTCTGGAGGCATGTACCATTTGCTGTCCTTGTTGCGATTAGGGGAATATCCACGCATTAGATATCCGGTGAAATAGTTGTGACGTGGAGGATGTGCAGGCTTTAACAATTTGTTTATTAAGTACTCTGTATTGACAAACATATCGCTGTCAGTCTTCATAACATACCAGGCATGCGGGCAATATGTTGCTACCCAGTTCATTCCCATCAGAGTTTTAATAGTCAGATTATAATATGTATCTAAAAAGTCTTGTTGAATAATATCATGATACTGTCTGCTTTCTTCCAATAAAGTCCTCTGAAAGTTCCCACCAGCCTTTCTAGAACCTAGTAGAAAAAGATGTACCATACGTAATCCAGGGGCAATGCTTTCATTTCCCCAAGTTTGCCGAATAGCATGTCGAGCTTCAGTTTGGCCAGGTTCAGCTGCAATCAACACAATTAAGAATGGGTTTTGTTTTTCACATTTGTTTGGTTCGTTAATGATATAGTTATACTGGTGATGTGGTATATATCCTGTCTTTTTTTCACTGTGCACGCTTCCATTAGCATTCAGTACGTCCCCTAATCCAGTTACATCTGGAGGAGAAAGTGCAGTGCTAGAATTCACCGTATGAATCTTGTATACTTGTGCAGCCTCTTTCCAAATACTTTTCATTGTACTCTGGTTAGTTGTACTTTTTGGTGACCTGAATCCTCTCACGGTATGAGAAACAGAATAACCAGTTTCTCTTGACCAAGTTTTACTCGTTACCCAATCGTGCTGATTAATGAACAGAAACATTGCAAATAAAAACACAAGGCAAATCAGTGCAATAATAGGAGTACGAAACAGTGACCGTTTAACATTCCAGGTCATCTTCATTAGGCAGCAGTACCGTCTTCTCAACTGAAGCATGTTGCAGCAGGGCTATTTGCAATGCCTAAAGTTTTGTGCTCACATTGGCTATGTTTTATAGCTTCCTTTACGACTGTGTCCCTTATTAAACTGCTCTGAGGAGCTTGATCTTATAAAATATATATGTATATGTGTTTCTTCAGCAATTAAGTGGGGCAGGTTAGTATTTGGCTATTGCAGACTTTTTTAAAAATTCTTTTATCACCTCATCCAAGTGCAATCAGTAAGTAAGTATTCCATTTTTACATAGGAGTACTTGTTGATTTTAGGAGTTCCATTGAAGCAACATATTTATTAAAATGAATCTTGATAGTCTTTAATACCCAAGCTTCTGAAGTCTTTGTTCTTGATATTCTGCAGAAGGAAACTGCAATATATTTCAGTCATTATACATTACATACAATTGTTAAAAGTTTTACACATTTTATTCAGTTCCGATTATTGACACTAGAAATTATTCGTGTTTATATATGTTTTAAACATAAAAGTTTCTGTTCCAGCATCTCTTGTTTTGAGCTCTTGGATCAGAACTTCTAACACATTTTATTGCACGCACCTATGCTGTTAAGGGTTTAAGAGTTTCAATTTCATATGTTGTAAATTAATAAAGGTACATTTTGCCTCAGAACATTTCATATACTGTTGTGGATTATTTTAGTGAAATACTGCATTGTTACAGTACCATTCTAGTTTGAAGGTTTATCAAATCTGTTTCCTTTCTATGTCCTGATTGATATTTGTGATCTTTTTAAATGCATACATATTAAAATGTCTCATTGTTCCCATTTCGAAATTAGCTCATTGGTCAGAGGTTTCTTTTTACTCTTAAGTCTTGAATATGACAAAATGAAGGGTTAACTTGCAAAATAATTTTCTTCATGTTGGTACACTGCTTCTGTCATCCTGCACTGTATTTAAAATACAGGCAGAAGAAGCACCTGTCAGCTGTCATACTTCATTGCAGAATATTTGGTTACCTTTAAATGTATTTAGAACTTTGAAGTTTGAAAAAAGTAGTTTAATTATGTTTTAGCTTCGTGTTAGTACTAGTTTTAAACATTTGTTGCTCTTCCAATCTGTTACAAAACTAGTTCCAATACTGTTACTGATGAAATGGATCATGGACAGACCTCATTTCATATATATGCAAAATTGAAGCACTCCCTTGTACTGACAGGAGCACATAAATAATTATCTAATATCTCTAGAACTTACCTTTCTTTCGATAACTGATAAAGGTTAGCATCTCTATCACAGTGCAGTACGTTTGATAATATTGAACACATCAAGAAACAATTTCAACTGTCATAGCAATATTATTGAACATCTTTTTAAAAAGGTTTATTCATGAAAGTATTAATTATTTGTAAAGCACCTGACCTTTCTCCTAGTTTACGCAGTTTAGCAGTTCAGTCTCCATATATGTTACGATCGTGTTGACACAATGCATTTTAGTCACATTCTCGGCTCTTATTAATCAAGACAGTCTTGTTCATCGTTTCACTGCACACAGCTTCATGTAGCTAGGACAAGCAAGAATAATTCCTCTTCCCTCCTCTCCCTTTGTCTCCACATAATTTTCTATTGACCAAGTAGATGAATGATTAAAGTTATTCTTCATGATGATGTGAAACTTCAGTAAGAGGTAGTATTCATAAAGATTTTGGTTAAGAGCAAGTAAATTGAATCTTATTTTGCTCTTGAATACAGATGTATTCTATGTAATACATTTAAAGCTAAATTGACACTTAGCGTCTGAGTGTAAGATTTTTTTAATGCCCTGTACGAGATAACAGTGTTTTGACTATTGTTGGGAAACATTAATAATGAGTACATGAACAGTACATGTTTAACTGGAAATATCACTCAGATAATCAGTTAATTTTTGCTAAAAAGTTGTTGCCAATAAAGTGGAGATTGGTGAATGCTCAAGATCTATTTTAAAACCAACTAATCTCCATTGAAAATATATTTTAGTGCTTAGAATTAATTTATATGCAGTTTTTGGAAGTATTTGATTCTAATATTGTTTATGGAAGTTAGTGTGGAGAGAGAAGTAAGTATTCAATCATTAATAAATATTATTTTCTATTTTAGCTCAAAAAGGAAACCAATATAGGCTATAAAGTTTAGTCGAATATGAGTGGAAAGTAGGTAAAGGTATGGGAATATAGTGAAAAGAGAACACTGGATCTATATAACTTTAATATCGATTGAACTGTTGTTTTGATTGCCTGTTAGTTTCTAGTTCCTAGTTTCTATTCATCAAAATATTTTCAAAAATGTATTTCAATGGACTGTCTTCTACTGGTTGAAGTCTGTCAATTTGCTGCTTGATGGCTTTGTACCTTGAAATTGTAATATTCCGGTTTGAGGGTCGTAGAAATCACATGGAAATTCCTGGATCCCTGTGGTTTAAGTTCAATTTGCTTTAACTTTCGATAGGATGACTAAGTGCTCAAATTTTGTTTAATCAATAATCAGAATATGTTTAAAACAAAACTTTGCATTGGAAAAAAAATCACTTACTGATATTTTAAACTTTTTAATGATGCATTTTAGGTGGCAGTGGCAAGCAATGACATTTGCCATCTGATAACAAACCTCGTAGCAATCTCTTGTAAATGAATAAATGGTTGCTGTACCATCAGTGTTAAATAATGAAACACCACAATTTTAAAAGTCGATAGTTGAAGACTGTCTGGCTCCAGTGCAATTCCAGATCTAAACTAAAAATTGAGGTAATTTGGACATAATCTGAAATATCTATTTGCAAAAGAAAATGTTGCATAGATTAATGACTTTAATCTTCTGTTATTTCAAATACAGTGATATAATTAAAGAAATGCCAAATTAGTGGATTATTCCTGTTATGTTGCCTTCATGTAGGTCATGCTGTGAATGAATATAACATTAAGTAAAGTGGCAGGAAAGCAGGTGACCTAGCATCAGTTTGTTTAACTGGTGCTGTATCCAGAGCATATTCAGGTGGAAAGTGTGTCACACTGGGAAATATTTGAAAGATTTGACTTGACCTTTTTAACAGTAAATATGGATTCAAAGACTTTTGAGTAGTCATGGACTACTCAGTGCCATATGGTTGGATATGGATTTTTACTTTGACTTGGACTTCATAGCTCCCTCATCTATAGATATGTGAGGCAGGCAAAGCACTCCATTTTCTTCTGTGCACAGACAATGGTCTCACGTCACTGCAGTATCTATTGACCAGTTGGAAATCTCTACTATCTGACAGCAGTATTTTAGATTGCTTTAAACAGCTTTGCTGTTTTGTGCATTTTCCTTAGGGATAACTCAAGGGGCCTTGTGTGTTAGGCCAAACCTATACATCATCCCTCTGCAGTCACACTTGCGTGGGGAAAAAGATAAACTGATATTTCAAACATAACATCCTATATGGACATTCATGCAAGGAAAGAAATATGTGGCTCAGAGTTTGAGAAAGACCGTTTAAAATGCTGAAACAACTTCATTGGTTTCTTACTAATTTGGTAGAAACCAATACAAAACGGCTTATGTGTGCCTGTGTGTATTTGTGGGAGCGTGGGGTTTGTGTGGTGCAAGTGGGAAGGAGGTAGCAACCATATTCGTGTCATTTTAAAAGATTACATTTGACAAGTGCAGAATCTGCAAAAGCAGGTGTCAATGTATTGTCAGTACTGATAGACTTTTCTTCAGTTAACTGAAATAACTGGTCTGCTAGAAATGGTGTTATGATTGTGTAATCAAGTGAAAGGTAAGGTCAAAAATCACACGACGCCAAGTTATAGTCTAACAGGTTTACTTGAAAACTGAGGAAGGAGCTGAGCTATGAAAGCTTGCGTTTTCAAATAAACCTGTTGGACGATAACCTGGTGTTGTGTGATTTTTGACCTTGTCCACCCCAGTCCAACACTGGCATCTCCACATCAAGTGAAAGGTAATTATTGTTTATCAGAGGAAATCGCTTGAGTGAATAAGATCCCTTTAATTCTGTTGACATCTTCTGTCACCAGTTGTTGAAATAATACTTTATAATTTAAAGAGTTAATGCTGAGATAAACTATTTATTGAAGTAGCATTGGCCTTCTTTGACTTTAATGCTGCAGTTGTTAGTGAATTATTGAGCAGTTGTAACGTTTGCCGTAAGGCCTTTAGTGGTTTGCATGGGATTGCACTACACGATATGAACGTAATCAAATAGTTTTGGCCATTGACCAAGAGTGTATTGTTTGTTTCACAAAATATTTGATTACAATGTGGTATTAAAAGACAGATATCCACATATATATTTACATACATGTTTAACGTTCTGTTTTTGCAATCTTAATAATAAGTGTGAACAGCTAATTGGGAAGAAAACAACATAAGAGGCAGCAGAGGGAGAGAAAAATGCACTTTCAGCAAAGAAAAACTATATACGGTATGTTGAATGTAACGAAGATAGTGAGACAAGAACATTTTTATTGAGTAGTTCACTATTGGACATGTGCTGCAATAAATGGGATTGAGGACGTGTCAGTTGATAGTACTGTAGCCAAAAAAATCTAAGTTCTTCTGCAAGATGATCTTTCTAAATTTTATATTTTCACTGTTGATAGGACTCATAGCTTACAAAATTTTATTTTCGTAACTTCCAGCTGCTCTTAAAATTTCAGTAAAATTAATTGACAATTTGTTATCTTACTTTTGACAATATATTTACACTGTTCTTTATATTTTTCTTGTACATTTTACTGTGAAATTATAGATTATTTAAACATTTTAAGTAGAGGAATGCAATTAAATTATTGGTAAAATGACTGGTACAATTTGAAATGTGTATAACTCTCGTTAATGAAATGAGGCATAAAGCATTTTGGGATGACTAGGTGAAAGAAATGACTTTGGATTTTAAAAGCTTTACTTTATGATGTTGAAATCCCTTAAGAGTCCTCATAAAGTTAAGGGAAGCATATTCTGATCTGTGAACAGAACATAGAGGACAAATCAAGTAAATTGTTGAACTCTCATAAGAGGAAATCTCCATTCTACAACAGGATACTGTTTATTTATATTGTTTCTTTTGAATGTTCAATTCTAATTTAAATTGGAGCTTGAACGGATGGAAGCAGAATTTAGAATTACTTTTAATGTCTCAGTTTTAACAGTTCCAAAAGTTTTCGATTTCAATAGCCTTATTTTTCCAATCCGTTAATCAATCGCTGTCGAACATCATCATGGCAATTTGTTGATCAGATTTGTGATTATTGTTGTCTTAAATATACAGGAGATTGCACATTTTCCCAAGAGAATGATGTATGCATATTGACATTTACTTAAAAAAAATTTTGCAAGTTCTTTACCAATGCTTTGAGATCCCTGGTTAATTATATGTTGATTACAATCCTCATTTAAGTGATATATGGCTTCAGGGTCATAAGTGAACAGTTTATTTCTCCATGTGTATGGTATAGAAAATGCAGCGACATAATAAGCTATCATGTTTTTCTGAAATATTTTGGATTCAAATAATTAGACAGGTTTTGTTGTTAATCAGTTACTACATAGTACTTTTATATACGGAAAACCTATTGCACTGCTTGTCACTAGATGGTAGTGCTGAGCATACATGAGCTCGATTTCACTAACTATACTGTTAACATTTATTTATGGTGCTTTATCTTAGTTTCAGAAAACACCTACAAAGTTGCAATTAAATTTTTAAAATATTTCATCGATCCTAACATGTTACTATAAAATGATTATGTATGGTTTCATCCTAATTCAACTCTTTCCAAATATGACCAGCCATGAATCCACATAAAGTTAGTAAAACCCAGGAGTTAGTTATTAAATGTCATTACACTTTTACTTAGAGGCATGTTCAGTTGTATCATGATGTTATTAAAAAGCAATGCTGGCGGCACAGCAACTGCTTTTGTATTTAAAACCGTTTAATGATTCATTGCAGTCTGCTGATTGATGTCTGAGCCAAGCCATGACTGCAGCACAACATATCTCAAATAAGATTCAACCGTTTGCAAGTCTGACATTTTTAAAATGGATCGGCTGATAACATTTGTTGTTTCTTTCTTTTCTTGATATCAAAAGAAATAAATTCAGAAATATCAACTATTTATCTATTCCAAAATAGATGTCCAACTCTGTACTGTCAGATGATACAGTGAAATATAAGGATTTAGACTTAGTTTTTCTGCAGTTTAGAATGGGTTTGTGTTGTAAGCAAATAATTTTATTGGCTTTGATGTTTGCCAATTGTTGTTAGCTTTGACAGCTTAAAATGGTCTGCCCTTTTAAAAATAATAATTAATGATGCATTGTCTTGAATAAAACACCTGTAACTATATAGTTGAAACAATAAAATGGTAAACCAGTAATTTTTTCTGCTTAACAGATATAATTTGACTTATCTTTGTTTCATCTTTTTGTTTTGATGGCTCAGTGCTCACAGCATGTGCCACAGAGTAAAGCCATTGAACTGAGCTTTCAAGCTGCTTGAATACTGGAAATTGCTGTTAAATGGACAACTAAGATTATTCTCAAACATCACTTTAAATAAAAAGTCTTGCTTTTTGAAGCTGTTGTCATCCATTTTCTTTGTACTGTAGTCTATAATAGAGTGAATTTAATCTGTTCCGGTTTGCTTCATGCTGAAATGCAGGTGCTCCTGTAGAAGAACAATGGGTCTCTTGTTCTCAAGGCAACTCTAAAGCATAAGAATAGTACAAGTAAGCTTTAACATACCTTCCTTCGTCGGGACCCTTATGGGTAGAGGTGCAAACGCCGGCTGAAAACATGTTTTTGGCAAGCCATCATATCAGCAAGAGGCTGCTGCTGAACATGCGCATATCTGGAGTAATTCAGCCTACGCTTAATTTTTACTTTTGTCTGCCCACATTCTGTCCGTTATAGAGAATTGCCTCGGTAAAGAATTTTTTTTCACTTTTGAAGACCGTTGCTTACCGTAGTAGCCACATTGGAGAACAGTTTGTTAGCTCTTTAGTTAAATGATGCAGTCCTGCAATCGCCAGCTGTATTTTTCGTCGATCAGTGTTTATAGACATCAGCAATAGAAGGCAACTGCTATGTGCATGGACTGATTCTTCGGTTGTGTACGACATATTAGGGAAACTACTTCCAATCCTTTGGGTTGCTAGGCAGCTAAGGCATGACTGTGAGCAGGGTTGATGCTGCGTAGGTTTGGTCTGTTAAGCTTACTCCTTTTGCATTAAATAAGAGGATATGCTTTTAACTGACTCTGTCCTCCGAAAGCAGAAGAAAACGTCAGTGTACCGGAGACTCCCACGTGATCATTACTGTATTAGTGTCTTTCCTGTCTTGAATAACTGTTCTGCTGCAGGACTCCTGGTGTTAGATGAAGGAATACGTGATTTTGTCAATGGATTTTGCTTCACTGGTAATCTTAAGCACAAAATGCTGGAAGCAAGCTTAAAACAGGGGAGCAAGTATTTTATTTGTAGTACTGCCTATCTGAACTTTTTTTTTAAAAAGTGCAAAATGATATTATTTTTCCTTTTGCGTACTTAAGCAGAGATCTTTCTTGCCTGTAGTTTATTGCGTAAAATCCAAATTTGATGATTGAGCAGTACCGCCGACTTGAGAAAAATGAACAGTTGTATACTGTGATATTTTGACCGTTTTCTTGTTTTCCAGTTCCTTTTTTTAATGACTCTTGAAAATTGAAAGATATAAAAATATATTGGAAGGCAGCAGCCCATTTTTTTTTTATTGTTTTCACATATTAATATCGAATCAAATTAGATTAAAAGGCAGGAAGAAAAGCATTGGAAACATTTGTGAATTGCAACCAATTTCATTAAAAAGTACATGGAAATTGAAGTAGAAATGTTCACTGTAACCTTGTTACAAGATGTAGTTAGATAACTTGGGTGCTTCTCTAAAGTCAGACTGTACACAAAAAAGACTGGCTGTTCTGTTTTTATTTGGGTCTGTATTACCATAATTCACTGGCTTAACCAAACAGTGTAAATGAAATTTGAGAGTTTCCATATTATAAATAATATAAATTATATACACAAAAATATTTTAAATCTAGGTTTTCAGGAATCTTGTTATGTTTACAGAATTCTAATTTTAACTGCCAGACAGCCCAGGAGAAAAATCATGAGGGCATTTAGAAGAATCTTTGAACTCTATTTTGTTAGTTGTAAAAATGCTTTGACAGTCAAGATCTTCCAAGGGGTAACATGATTGCACTGAGTATGGATTTTTTTGGATGAGAAATGGAAGTGGAACAATTGGAAGGGGGAGGTCATGTGAATGAAATGTTAAAGAATACTTTCAACTAAAATTGGCAACACTAGTTGTTTTACATGATCTATAGAGTTTCAATGCATTATTGTCCTTTCTTTTGCACTTGAAGTGCACTCAACTGTATAATTTTAAGTCTTAATATTTTTTCTATCACCCAAATGTAATTGCTTGCAATATTAAAATCATTCACAACCCAGTTCATAATTCCCCGGTCCCCAACACCTCATCTTTACCATGGACGTCCAGTCCCTCTACACCTGCATTCCCCATGCAGATGGCCTTAAGGCCCTCCGCTTCTTCCTGTCCCGCAGGCCCGACCAGTCCCCCTCCACTGACACCCTCATCCGCTTAGCCGAACTCGTCCTCACACTCAACAACTTCTCTTTCAATTCCTCCCACTTCCTACAGACAAAGGGGGTAGCCATGGGTACCCGCATGGGCCCAAGCTACGCCTGCCTCTTTGTAGGTTACGTGGAACAATCCCTCTTCCGTACCTACACCGGCCCTAAACCCCACCTCTTCCTCCGTTACATTGATGACTGTATCGGTGCCGCCTCGTGCTCCCACGAGGAGCTCGAACAGTTCATACACTTCACTAACACCTTCCACCCCAACCTTAAATTTACCTGGACCATCTCTAACACCTCTCTCCCCTTCCTGGACCTCTCTGTCTCCATATCGGGCAACCACCTCGAAACCGATATTCATTTCAAGCCCACCGACTCCCACAGCTACCTAGAATACTCCTCCTCCCACCCACCTTCCTGCAAAAATGCTATCCCCTATTCCCAATTCCTTCGCCTCCGCCGCATCTGCTCCCAGGATGAGGCATTCCACTCCCGTACATCTCAGTTGTCCTCGTTTTTCAAGGACCGTAACTTCCCCTCCTCGGTGGTCGAGAACGCCCTCAACCGTGTCTCCCACATCTCCCGCACCTCATCCCTCACACCCCGTCCACGCAATAAAAACCAAAAAAGAATCCCCCTCGTCCTCACGTACCACCCCACCAACCTCCGGATCCAACGCATCGTCCTCCGACACTTCCGCCATCTGCAATCCGACCCCACCACCAAAGACATCTTTCCCTCCCCACCTTTATCTGCTTTCCGGAGGGACAACTCTCTCCGTGACTCCCTTGTCCGCTCCACACTCCCCTCCAGCTCCACCACACCCGGCACTTTTCCCTGCAACCGCAGGAAGTGCTACACCTGCCCCCATACCTCCTCCCTCACCCCCATCCCAGGCCCCAAGAAGACTTTCCACATCAAGCAGATGTTCACCTGCACATCTGCCAATGTGGTATACTGCATCCGCTGTACCCGGTGTGGCTTCCTCTACATCGGGGAAACCAAGCGGAGACTCGGGGACCGCTTTGCAGAACACTTACGCTCGGTTCGCAACAAACAACTGCACCTCCCAGTCGCGAACCAT